AACTTTTTATTCGCCCTCATATGCTCGCATGGGTTCCTCAATTCAGTCTTTCTGATTGGAGTCAACGATGCGTACCGGAAAGCACTCTATAGTTTGGTCTGCAGGCAAGCATGTCTACTGAAATTCGAGCAAACAAATCCTTTTAGAAAGAAATATCCGAAAACTCTAGCCCCGTTGAGTATCAGCATCAGCCGCTCGTATGAAGGCTGATGAGACTCGCTCTCTGACACGCTCTACTCCCGCCATTTGCGAATGGAAGCGCGGTAGGGGTAATAAATTCTAAGGAAATAACGATGTCAACGATGTCATCTGTATAAAACGTTTTTAACGTAAACACTGCAAACCAAATGTGGAAATTCATTCAAAACGAAACTTCAAACAGCCAAAAGGGAAATCCATGATGAAATCATAAACAGCAAAGAAAATTGAGCAGTCGAGTGATGATCTAAATAAGGCGATGGCAAGAATTATCACAGTGCTGATCTTGCGCGAAACAAACATGATGAAAAGGTCACCGGTCACCAAATATCACATTTCGCAGTAACCAATGTTAGAGTAGAAGGGGGAGGACTAGGTAAATTATTAGGCAAATGTAGAATCTAGGCGGGTATAAAAACTAAGGATGCCGGACTTCGATCAATTCGGTCGCGCTAGAGAGTCGGAGCCATATCTTCGTATCATCATCTGGCAAAGAACAAGTCGCTTTGGCGCGGAACGTCTAAATAGTGTCCTGGTAAACAGGCAGACAAGTTTACCAATGGCGACTGGGCGCTTGAAAATTGTGCGAGTAGTTGGGCTGGGGCGATAACGAAAACGCCGAGGGTTGATTTTAGGACGATCTCCTTCTTTGCGTGAACCTCTTCTTCCACACAAGATGGCCAATTGAATTCCAGATTGACCTGAACATCGTAATGCTCCTGATTTTTAGAAGGGAATACCTGATAGAGGCCAAAAACAGTTGATTGATCCACAGGCGTTGGCAATATATCGCGAACCTAAAAATAGCCAATTGCAATGATCATCAAAAAATACCATAATCACACGATGAGTGATGAAAACCGGATCGCCTTCTTGTAAAGGCAAAGCCTCCACGTCCAGCCAGTCTCCAACTTCGAGCACGTTCTTCGTAGGGGGAAAACTAAAACCATAAATTTTCATATCAAGGACTACCGCCCGGGCCCTAACGACTCTCTTTGCAACAGTAGCCCGCCAAATTCCATGCTGATGATTGGTGGGCAAATGATGTAAATATCTAGGTCCGGCTCGGCTCGAACGACAACACCTTGCTAAAATATATGTCGAAATGCCAATTATTTAGTTACCAGATGGAATTTGAACGCCTCGATCCCACGATCGAGTGCCGGCCTCCAATCGTAGCGTTCTGCTGGCACGCGAAAACTGTTGTCATACTTCGGTAAAGCGGCAAGCGGCCTAGACAAATAAATTCTGTCGAAAGGGCCAAGCAACCTCGCCGCCAACGGATTTGGGCTTCATCGTATGCGGTTACGGCCAAGTTAACACAATCTATGATAACAATGAATATATGCGAGAAAAAGTACCTCGACGGCTCGGATCGCCAAGTGTGATCAGGTCTCCGTGGTAAAATGTCGTTGTGGTTGATTCGCTTTTCGGAAGCCGTTGCCCATTGAGGAATGTACCTAAATTAGTTTATTGGCTTTAATGTTTGCACACCAGTTGTGCTCCAATCGCTGATATTGAATTGGCCGCCTCGGTAGGTGACGTGCGCGTGTTGACGAGAGACAATCTTATCATCAAAAGCCGTATCCATGGCGTTGAGGGCATTGTTCGTGTCACGGCGTATCAAGAAGCCTTCACCATCCTCGACAAATCGCCTGCGTTCACGATTCTTCTTCAATTCCCGTAAGATGAGCACCGCTCTTCTTTCCGACATAGGACTAGGCAAAAACGATAAATTGTTTTCGACGACGAACCACCGAATACCCTACCGTTTGGAAACAGTGTATAAAATCGGTTGCAAGCGTAACAGTTCATCCAGTGTCGTACAAAAAATGTTTAAAGTTTATTCCTCGGGGTAAGATATCAATCGGGGCAGGTAATTTTTGGCATTCGGGGCTTCGCGGCACAACGCAAAGACAATAAGTATGAAAATAAAGATTGGTCAACGGGTATGGGGACAATTGAGATACGGTGAGCAATGGATAAGGCAGGCGGAGGGGTAGGGCGGTGGCTTATTCCTCGAAATTGGCGGCTTCCGGGAACCGGTCAAAGTAACGGATATCACGGACGTACTTTACATTGATGAGGCGACCTGAAAAAGCATTATCTGAAGTTGACCACAAAAACCAACCGCAATACCACTCGCCATGAAGGGCAGTAAAGGCTTTATGAGCCTGGTCGTTAGTGGAGAACATCGCGAAAATTAGCTTCTCGTTAGTGCTATGGTCGGCACAATACTAAAAGAGACATTTTAAAGCAAGAAACAGTCAAACGTACTCCAACATGTAATGGTTGAATAGGGCGCAGCTTGTCGCGCATGTCCAGCTCGGCCTTTAGGCGATCCGACCTATAAATAAGTATTGGAGCAAGCAAACGACATTCAAACGTTTTCGTAACCTATGGAACCTAGCATCCCCTATAAAAAAGGTCCAAAATCAATTGTTGCTGATAATCACAGAAAAACCCGGGCGAAGAGCCCTCGACTCTCGAATTCATCAACGAATGAACTCGGACATGCTTGTAATAATGCAAAGAACACAGCAAACCGGAAAACTAAAGCGAACCCGTCGTTAGCCACCATATCGCGAATTTTTAGGAACTTGGTGAGGCCCTGTTTTGGGACGTTCGGCGAAAGGGCTTCGGCGAAGGCTACACATTCTGGATTAGATAAAAGAAATTGCGAACCTTTGCCTTGCCATCCGGTCTTCTTCGCCTCCAGCCATTTCCAGACGGCGCACTCGTGTCCGCGGATGAGGCGAGTCTCGGTGGCGATGCGCGACTCGTTATCGTTGACGTACTCCACGGCGCGCTCCCAGCGAGCCAGTTCGGCGGGACGGCTAAAAAGGTAAACGTAAGAAACAAGAAAACAAACGCTCATCTTGTAAAATCTCTAAAAACTCACCGGCGAGCCGGAGGGAAGATGACGTCGCGGACATGGGGCACGCTAATATATTCCTCGCCATCGGCAGCAGAATCACGGACAGTGTCTAGATTAGAAAATATATGTTTTCTTGAATTTCAATACCGGTAATCTTCTCCACCAGATCGAAGAAGGCGCCCTCCTCTTCGGCGCGTGAGTTGCGATAGTAGCGATGGGTGTAGTAGACGGCAATGACGGCTACAGCAAGGGCGGCCAGCACAGCAGACGGAACGATGAGGTATTGGTAGAAGAAGCCGACCATATCACGAGTCGAAGCTGGAAATACGAATCCAATGTAATTTTTAGAGGCAAACCCTACCGGCAACAACTTGAGCTCCACTGGCCAGAGTGTCGGGGTGAGCGGTTGTCACGTAGCCGATCGCCAGAATCACGAAGAAAATGGAGAAGATGATCAAGAGCAGCCGCGGAATATCGTCCCACCAATTCACCTAAAAATCAATCTCATGTCAAGGAAGCAAGACAAACAATTTCTTGCTGATGCTGCATACGGATACGGCCTGCACGAGTGTCATTCTCCACACGGGTACGATGTCCGCCGACCTTCATGTCGTAGTAAGTTCCGGGAGGCCCGGCTTTGAACTAAACAAAATACGTATGCTATCGCGTTGAGATTGGAAAATTGCCAGGGCTAAAACAAACCTCGTCACCATTGCCAGAAAGCCGTTTCCAGAGGCGCACGATCGGTGAATCCTTGGGAGAACGTGGAGTGTCGCGGAAAATGATTCTTTCAGATTCTTCACCGCGCGTATCCTCCTCATCGGTAGTATGTCCAAGATTGTTGTAAGCGGAACCAGCACCTGCAAAAAATATTGAATGGCACACATCTAACAGATCCAACGACGCCGATTTGAGAAACATACCGGAGCGGACCGTCTTGCGCACCGTTGAAGTGAGATCGGGTGTGTAGTAAGAAGTTGTAGTCTAAAAAGAATTTCTTTCGCAACCTCGCAATAAAATACCTTGGTCCTCATTGCAGAATTGCGAGGCGGCGTGGCGCCGGGACGATCGAAGCTGTCGCGTTGCGACACTGGAGTGGATTGGGAGCCCGAAGAGCTGCGGCCTGCGCTGGTGTCTCGGAGTTCTTGGATGCGGCTCTTCTTGCTCGTAACCGAGACAGAATCCCATTTTTTCTAAAAGCAATTTATGAAACCTAGAGCTTTCAAACCGCTGAACTGGGAGCATGCGTAGTGTTGAGGCCAGGTATCGGAATCGGCGTCCGCGATTCGCGCTTCGGCGAAGAAGTGATGGGGCTCTTCTGAAACAATAGATATTGGTCCAATGCGTCATTCTTGCCTGCTCATAGGTGGGCACTGGATGTTCAGGATCGCTGTCGGCCTCATCTGCACTCACGTCAAGCCGACCGGTGTTGGAGCGGCGAGTTGGTGACTAAATTCGATATATGACCGAACCAGAAAAATCGTACCTTTTTGGCCGATGCACGAGCCGGTGACTTTGAGCTTTGAGAGCGCACTGGGGTCGCCGGTTTAGCTTTTGGCTTTGCGCCACCCTCCTTGCGAAGCTTGGCTAGCTTCTTCTCGTAAAGAGTGCGTGTTGTTCCGGTAATCGGGCCAGTGTTGACCCCGTAGGAGATGAGCTCTTCCCGGAGATCTTGATCCGAAAGGGCACTGACGTCCATTTCTGAAAAAAATGCGTAGGCCTCGGTTTGTAGTGAAAAACTAGAAAAGATAGGAAAAATATGAAAATAGATAGGAAAAGTGACGATGAAGTTTGATAAATCTGTTAGGGGCGGACCCAATCGCGTCACAAAACAAAGTTTTGCACCGTCAGAACTGACTTTCCGGCATTTCGTATATTCCAAAACTATTTCAAGAAGGTGGTGGCGGGTTCAAAAAAGTTTTGGCGCCAGCAGGTGCAGGGCAGCGCATACGGTGCCCGGGTCGCTTGATAGCGACCCACCCTTTGTAAGGGCAGGCTAGCAAGGGTCCTTTGCCTCTAAAATCGTACTTTATGATGCTGGAAACAAGGAAACAGCGGTCGGAAATGAATATTTATTGACGACGAGCGCATAGGGAATATACACCAGAATGGCAGGGCTCCAAAAGCCAACGGGTTGGCGGATTAAGGGGAGTGGCGACGAGTTTTCGGTTCTTTTTTAATGGGAGAAACTGGAGGTGGCTAGATGGAAGGTACACGGGTGGTATTCATGGCCGAGACGTTGGTGTTCAGCGGGGGGTTGTTGGCAGATTTGTTCACCAACTGCACCCGGACGCGGACCTATAAATGTATGGAATTAAATGTTTACTCTTAAAAATTTTTAGGCTACGGTTGACTTTACCCCCCCCCCCCCAGCCGGAAGTTTTTGGCTATAACTTTTTTATTTTACATTATTTATTGTAGGCTCAAATTAAAACTCTTAGTATATTTTTCGACGCTCTATCGATTGGCGTTGCGAAAATCCCGAAAAAATAAGTGAAAATACCGACAACTTTGAGACCCTTCAGCTGTGGGGGGGTAAAGTAAACTCTTACCAATTTTTATTTCTTGTATCTTCTTCTTAATTGAGTTTTTGATTCACTATCAATTTGGTGGCCTACCCGAACAAGCCCAGACGGATCCGTGCCCACGGCCACCATCTGCTTCTTCGACTTCCTGGCCGACGTCGAGCCCGAGTTGGACAGCGTCTGGGCCACCCTCTTCTTCATCGCCTTCTTCTGGCTGGCCCTCTGGCGGGCAGCGTCTGAGGCGGACGACTTCGAGTCGTTCGTGTGGCAGAACAGCGATTTCGGCTTCTTCGCCTTTGGTTTGGATCCACGCTTGGCGCTGGATCGGCCGGCGGAGGAGGTGGGAGCCTCTGAAATCCAAGCGTACGTTACGGGGATAAAAAAATAGAGAAAAAAGTTTTTCCCATGTTTGGCCTACCAGGACGAGGCGTGCGCTTGAGAGAAGCCGCCTTGCTGGTCGAGGCTCGGCTAGCGCTCTTGTTGGACGCGGGCGTGCGCGAGGCTCGCGAGCGGTTGCCGTCGATCCGGCCGACGGTGTCCGTGTCGGAGATGATGTGGGCGGTTGGATGGCCCGAAGAATACCCCGTGACGTTGTCCACAACCACTGGCGGTGGAGTGGTCAGGGACACACGACTCACGATGGCCGGTTCCTAAAGGAATAACCGGTTTTGAGACGACCAAATAGTGAAATTAACTTTGCCTGTTTTACCTCGGCTCCCCGCTGGCTACAAGGTTGTAAAGTAGACCAACGTGTTCGCCTCGGTCTGGCGAGCTTTTGGTCTACCTTAAAACCTCGTAGCCAAACGGAGGTCCAAGAAACAATAGGTGGGGAACACGATACCACAGCCCAAAACCGACCTTCTTGAAGTAGGGCGACTCCATCGGAATGGCATTCTGATCGCACGACGCATTCGACGCCGAGCCCGTAGCCGTCGAGGGGTCGGGAGTGAAAATCGGCCTAGAAAGGGTGAATTTCAAAAGATAAATGAAAGCGCCCATACCGCTGACGAGAAAAGTGATTTCCCTCTTGCGCATCGATGATGACGTTTTTGCGGCTCTTCGAGCCGTTAGATGAACTCGTAGAAGAGCGACGGGTAGATGAGGTTCCCCTGCGGCGCGCCGACGCGGTGATGCTTCGACGGCCGGCCTTCTTCACTGGAAAAAGAGATAAATATAATTTAAAGATGCCGTACGCGCGGCATCGAGATCAATTTCAGAGCCCGGGCGAGGCGTGCTGTACGGAGACGCCGAGTTCTGCGTGGCAGCCGTGTGCTGGGGGGTCATCCCGGCGATGATGGCCCTCACTTCGGCGGGGGTCAGCGCAACCCTATTAATGTGTAATTCGATGAACATATAAATTACCTGCGCCCCGGCGTAGCATTTGGGGAAAGGAGACGAGCAGTAGCTGCGGTGGGCGACATATTGGAGACGGGCAGATGGCGAGGAGATGAGCCATCGGCCACGGCCGTACGGAGGAGCGTGGCGGAGTGATCAGAGCGAGCCGTGGAGATTGAGGGCGAATTGGTAGGAAGGGGGCCATGGCCGATGTACTGCAGGCGGGAAGCTGAGATACCGGTACGGTCGGAGACGACGCTGGAAAATGGTATATTTCTTTTAGTTATTGACCTATAGGGCTGTAAGTTATACCAAAATGTTCGTCTTGATCTGTAGAGTATGAAACATTAAATTTAACATGGAAAAATCGTGGATTAGGGAGATAATTGAGCTCGCCGAATCGGAAATTGGCCCATATTTCGCTTAGTTATTGGCTTAGATGGTTGTAAAGTATACCTAAATGTTCGCAGCGCTCGGTAGAGTAAGAATACGCTAACATTTAGGCAAAAAATGAATTAAAAAGCTTTCTAGATAATTCTTTGCATACCCGGACTGGCGAAGATGGCTGCGCGATGGGTGGACGGGTGCAGGGCTACGATGTGAAGACGTACGCCCGCCCGACGTGTCGTCGAGCTGCGAGCTGGCCATTGTTTGACGCGAAAACAGTTTTTTCTTGTCTCGAAAAACCTTGTCTATCTTTTCGTGCATCCAAATCCTTTCAATTCCGTTTGTAAAACGTGAGATGCGTAAATTTATGCAAATTTTTTTTAGTATTTTGAGGGTTGTTTTGATTCTGCAGAGGTCGGATTGTATTTTCGTAAAAGGAACCCTTTTATTGACACCTTCCGGCCCACATCAGGTTGAAGCTAGTGGGAAATAGACGTGTTAATCGTTGAGAGGCAGTGAGAGGATTGGGACAATTTTGTCGAAGGAGAAACGAGACGAACGCTTTGAGACCGCGCCGTTTCACCGACAATTCGACCTCGATCCCCGGTAGTTGGTTTGGCTGATGACGATTGAGGAAGGAGACAAGTGCCGCCATATCCTCAAATTACGCCAATTCCTCTTTTTTATAATTGACCTCAGCAGAAATTCAGTTCTGGACTGTTAGCGGGGGGGACCACTTTCTATTTCTCCACACCGATTTTTATAGTGTTTTTAGTGGTTTTTGATTGCTAGAAAGTCATCACAAATATTTTTTCTAATTTTGAAAATCAAAGATACCATTTTTGGTCATTTTCATTTTTTTCATATATTTTTGATCCCAAAGTCAAAAATTTCCAACATTTGTCCGATTTTTCTAGATTGTTTTTCTATCTAAAAACTCTGTAAAATGCTATCAAAATGGTTTATATTTGGCTATAGGGCCGTAGAGAATCACAGGGAAAAATTTAATTCCTCCCGCTAACAGTCCAGCACCAGCAATTCAATACGAATAATTTTAATCTACAACCTACCCGCTTAACCATTGATCGTTGTGCCTTCTTTCGAAGTTTTTTCTTCAACGTGACAAACATTGTCCGTTCTCTACCATCCATCGGGGGATTCTATTGATTCATTTATTATAGTTTTCGACAATTCCAATAATATCGAATTGCCATGCATTCAGAAAAGCAGATTAAAGTACCATAGCAGCCCAATTGACAAGACGATTGACTGTAGAGAGAGTCTCGATATGACCTCCGTGGATTCCAGTATGGATCAGCAGCACAGACGAGTCGCTCATCTGGAAAACCATCTGCGACTCACCGTCCCGATTATAGTTTTTCGTCCCCATTTTTCGACGCCATCGGCCAGAGAATATTCTAGTTAGCCTGGTTGCGTACGAGTTTTAAGAGCTATATTAGAAGCAAAAAAACTATAAAACGTCGAAATGTTGGTCATTTTGGGTCGAAAAACAATTTTCTATTAGCATTTGTAAAGTTTCTATTAGCATTTGTAAAGTTTTTAGGCTCACGGACAGTTAAAAACCGTGCACAGACGCATCCGCTCTTGATATAAAAAAGGTGCACGCCCAATCAAACAGGCCAAAAACGGCAATTTGCCGTCAATTGGAGCCGGGCGTAGCGCGCGTCAAAAGGTTTAAACTCTTATAACCTTTCCAAACCGACTTAATATTGAAAAGCCAATATTAATTATTGCAGAGTAAAATTTTACGGTTCGAATGATACCAAAGAAAGCAGGTTAGCCCTCTGAAATACCACTTTTCACAAAGTCGTCCACCAAAACCGCCTTCGTTAGCATACTTTCTAAATTCAGTTTTTTTAGTGCTTAGTATCATTAGAATCGCCATGTTCCCTTCTACAAGACTGGAATTCGCGTTTTTTAAGATCGGCCATATCTTTCAAGATATAAGCCTTCAAAGTTTTGGCCCCATACATTTTTGAGTCGATAGGAGCGCCGCGTTGCCTAGCCCTTAGACCGCCGAGATTTCGGGGCGTGAGGTGGGCTCGCGCCCAAAAACTTGATTCAGGAAGTGGGACTGGTTCCCGACGTGGCTAGGGGTGAAAAGCGGCTTGGTGACGTTCAACCTGTAAGGGTGTATTATACCTGATCCCAAAGTGGCAGCTGTTCACTCATCCAGTCATCTTTTAGGTACCGGCATGTTATTGATGGGATTATGCCCTTTAAATATCCGTGAATTCTACGATACAGGACCCCCAAAAAAAGCACCCTGCTAGCATTTCGCCGGTTCACATCCGATCGGTCCCAAAATTGGTCCAGAAGCGTATCAGACCCTGCATAAATACAAGCCTGAGTTACAGCCCGATCGCTACAGCCGTTCTAAAGTTAGAACGAAAATACTGTTTTTCACACAATTCTAAACAGTTTTTCGGCTATCTTTTTGGAACTTGAATCGATTTGTATCGACTTCCGGGTGTTAATCCCTAAATTCACTTAATACCGGGGCGACTTTGCGTTACAAAAATCGTTGAAAGCATGTCGTATTATATTAGTTTTAATCCGAGAAAAACTTTTAGGGGTAAAGAAGCCTTCCCTACTCATTTTCACACTGTTTAGGGGATGGACTCCGACGAAAACCCTATGAAAAACTGATAATAAAGTTTATTTTTGTTGTATCCCGAAACTACTGTGGCTGGCGGGTGATATATCAGGATTGTGGTTATTTAGTGTCTGATGCACCTATCCAAATTTCTGACCGATCGGATCTAATACGGCCAATGCCGCTCAGGTCCTCGGGTCCACTCGGAATCCGGTCGGCATCTGCTCGCGAAATCGATCGGAATTTCAGTAGCGGACGCGACCGGATTCCACGTGGAAATCGACCGGATTGTGGGTGGATGCACGGTAAATCAGTTGGAAACCGACCGGATCCGCCCGGTTTCCACCCGATTTCCACTTTCCGCGTCGCGTGCGGCACGCGTTGCGTCGTGTTTCCACTCGATTTCCTGTGCGTCCACCCGAAATCCAGCCGATTTCCATGCGTTCCACCCCAAATCCAGGTGGAATACAACCGGATTTTGGGTGGACCCGAGGTCCTGAGCGGAGGGGTGCTTTTTTTGGGACACCTTGTAGACGGGGCCAGCGGTGAACAGCCGCATAGCGGGTTTTCAACCCTGTTTAATTCATAAAAGACCAAAACCAGACCACGACATCGAGGGAGAAGTCGTGACTTTTCAGCCAATCGATCTGTGTCGACGAATAACGTCGACAAGCTTTGATGAGGATCGAGTGGGGATTGTTGAGGAGGGAAAGTCGGCGAATCGGGAATTCAAGCTCCTGAAAAGATCCTATTTTTAACGATAAAGCAAGGACCGACCGTCTGCAGAGTGCCCGTAAAGATATATAAACCGACGGCATTCGGCACAATGCCCTCCGATAACTTATTCATTATCGAGAGCGCT